TGGTTTTATCCTCATCTTTAGCCTCTTAGGAAGACCATACATGTGACCCTGGTTGGAGGTGGACTAGTGACAGCCTTTCATGCTTTCAAATAGGGGAGGGCGGGCTCAGTGGTTCAGCCTGTAATCCCAGCACTTTGGGAGGCTGAGGTGAGTAGATTGCCTGAGCCCACGGGTTCAAGACCAGCCTGGGCACTTTGGTGAGACCTCATCTCTACAATAAATCAAAAATTAGCCAGGCGTGGTAGCGTGTGCCTGTAGTTCCAGCTACTTGGAAGGCTGAGGTGGTGGAGGGGTCGCTGGAGCCCAGCAGGTTGATGCCAGGTGGCCATGAACCTGCCTCTGCATTCTAACCTGGGTGACAGAGTGAGACACCAACTCAAAAAAAAAAAAAAATGGTGAACTAGAGGAAATACTATAGATACCAGCTTAAATTGAGAAGTTCATGAGCCCAAGTTTGTGGTCAGGCCACATCCTACTACTTAGTTGTCCTCTCATGTCACTCTGCTGGGAATTCAGGCCAACAAAGATTTGAGACAGCAATTTTTCAAGCACCAGGCAAAGGCCCTCTGGCATCAAGACTGAATAACTCTTGCCAGGAACTTTTCCACGTTGGTGGTTCTTATTTGCTGCTATCTTCAGGCTAGAAGTTATTTACCGTTTCAGAGGCCCTGTTTAAAAAAACATGGGGCACAGGCTACTGAACGGTCTGTGGGGAAAGAATAGTATATGCGCAAGGGCGTGTGTGCGTCGGGAACATCATCAGCAATCTTGAACTACAAGTGCCCTGGGATCTCACCTACTTCGCGACCCTGAAGGCATCATGAGATCCTGTGGCCAAGAGCCTGACAGTCTGAATCATGCTAGGCCAGGCTCTGTGGGCCTCTCTGCTGTTTCTCTTGAGTGTTATTCAGAGTTATTCTCAGCATTCCCTGACTTCTGGCTGATGTGTTGCCAGTTACACTGAGGACAGTGAGGTCACACTGAATAGGAAATGTTTTTTCTCTTCACCAGAATCTGCTGCAGGCTGAAGGAAGGTGTGTGAGGCCCTAACTCCTGGCTTCTGGTTAGAACTATCTGGAGATAACCAGACTTTCAAATACTGCCTGCCACCAGAGAGAGGCTTTCTTTATAAAATTAGTAACCATTATTAACTGTTCACTATGTGCCAGGCACTGCACCATCATTGTCTCATTTCATCCTGTCATCAGTTTATGAGGTAGATAGTTTTATCCCTGTTTTATAGACATGAAAACCGAGGTGCAAAGAGATTAAGAAACTTATATAATTGATATAGCTAATTAGTGGTGGCTCTGGGACTGAAATTCAGATGCGTGACCTCAGAGCCCATGCTCCTAATGATTTTGCTGTCTTCTCAGGCCCTTCACCTCCAGAGCCCTCAGGGACAGGCATTTAGGTCTTCCCCACTCCCACCCAGTTTGTTTTTCCCTCACCTAAGTTGAGACATATTGTTTGGTTTTTTTGAGTAGGAGTCTACTCTGTGAGCCTCCTAGGCTGGAGTGCAGTGGCATGCTCATGGCCACCACAGCCTCGACCTGCTGGATTCAGGTGATCCTTCTGCCTCAACCTTCCAAGTAACTGGAACTACTGCCACTACGCCCAACTAATTTTTTGATTTATTTTAGAGACAAGGTCTCATCAAATTGCCTGGGCTGGTCTTGAATCTCTGGGCTCAGGCAATCTTTTCACCTCCACCTCCCAAAGTGCTGGGATTATAGGTGTGAGCCACTGCACCCAGCTGAGGCGAATTGTTTTTTTTTGTTTGTTTGTTTGAGTTGGAGTCTCACTCTGTTGTCCAGACTGGAGTGCAAAGGCGGCTCCTGGCCACCGCAGCCTCGACCTGCTGGGCTCCAGCAATCCTTCCGCCTCAGCCTTCCAAGTAGCTGGAACTACAGGCGTGCACTATCACGCCTGGCTAATTTTTTTGATTTATTGTAGAGATGAGGTCTCATCAAGTTGCCCAGGTGGGTCTCGAACCTGTGGGCTCAGGCAGTCCACTCACCTCAGCCTCCCAAAGCGCGGGATTACAGGCTGAGCCACCAAGCCCGCTAGTGAATTGTTTTAAGGCAAAGAATGCATGAGGTTTTTGAAACTGAGGCCATTTGTGTATCCCTCATCTTCTACTTGAATTCAGAAGTTGTTCCTTTGTGGTGAAGAATCAGTTATGCATATAGGATCTTTGGGATTGTGCGAAATAGGTATGTACTTTCGGGACTGTGAAGGTAGTTTCTTTTGAGTCCAGGAGGTGTCCAGGCAACTGTGTAGCCATTGGCATGCCAGTGTTTTCATCAATTGTATGTTACTTTCAGCAACTTGAAACTTATATTCCGTGTCATCTTAGGAAGGTGAGTTCAAGTTCCATTTTCTAGAGAGGTGGGCTGAGACTCCAAGAGGTTAAGTGACTTGTCTAAAGTCCTGTGGTAAGAGTGGGATTCCCAGTTCAATTGTCTTTCTGTCTGGCTGTGGCCAGGCTCCAGGGTCCCATCCACCGAGGGTCATAGGTGAGGGCGTAAGGATTCCTTAGAGAACATGTGACGTGTAGGTGATTTGCTAACTTTGAAGCCACTTTGAGCTGAGGGGTGGACATGAGTCTAAAGATACAAGTCTGATAAAAGAGCATAAACTTGTGCTTGGGGCACAGGCTGTTACCTGACGGATTAGAAAGGAATCTCAGCCTGGGAGGGGACCTTGGCGTTGCCAGGAAGCCAGGTACTGAGGTTGTGCATTGTGGTAGATATTCAGTGTTGCCCTCGCCATGTCCCTGGCCAGTGCTGAGGGTCAAATGGGGCACGTTCCTCGAGCCTGAAGCTCCAGAAAGCAAAGCCCAGCGACCAGGTGCCCTGGTGCTCTGAAGTCCTGGGCGGGCTGGAGCCCCGACTCGGCCTAGAATGTCTTCTTCCCCTGGGAGTGGAAGAGAAGGGACTGAGGACAGGAACAGCAGGGACTGGAGGAGCTGACTGGCAACCTCCTCTGGGTAAAAGAGGAAGAAAGGAAGTGACCCCACAAGAAGGGGCTGGAGGAGGGACAGGGGCGATGGGCAGTGTCTGGGTGCGAAGAGCGCTGAGGCCAGGTGCCCTCCGAGTCCCGTAAGGCATCGGTTCTCCCTCAGGGGCCTTCTCTGCCTCCACCTCCTTGCAACAAACAGAACAGGCTGCCCTGGCAAGAGCCAGCTTCCCTGAGAAAGGAAAAACTCCGTTCTAGCAGAGGTCTTAGACCTTCTACTCTGCCCTGGCAAGAGGAGAAAGGTCAGGCGATCACGCAGCCTGTCCTGAGGCCCAAGGCTCTTAGGATGTCGTCAGAGGATACAGCCATGTCTTCATGTGCTGCACCTTTTTCTCAGAAATTGGCTTCAGCCTGCATGGAGTTTGTCTTTTGGCACCTGGCACCCCTTGGGGAATGCTGAGCCCAGGTTGCTCGGTCTTGGGCATCGCCAGAGCTGTCCAGATTTCAGGGCTTAACAAAAAAATCACATAGACTTCTCTTCTGGCTGGTTCCATCTGGGAGGAACGTTGCCTTTTTCTGGGCTTGAGCCATTCACTTCTGAGCCAAGACCTTGGCAATAGATGTTCCAGCCACGAGTGCGGCCCACGTGCATAAGCGGACTAGATTACTTTGTGGGTGACTGCCATTGCCGGATACGAGTCCTCCTGCCCGCAGAGCTGACAAGTGGAAGGAGAGGCAGAGGAGCCAGAGCCAGACAAAGTGATCTTGTGGAGCAGGGTGTCTGCAGGGACAGAGCTGAGCCAGACCTCTGCTCTAACTGCTGCTTCCCTCCAAACCCAAACTGGGCAACCCTCCCACAGGGACACAAGCCTTCCCTATGCCCTCCAGCCCCTCTCTCTCTCTCTCAGGAATTCTTGGCAGGCCACCAAGTGGAGTGTGCCCTGGTACAGATTTGTAGTGCTGTGGGAAGCAGTCCAGAGGCACCTCTGAGCCCTCAGGGTCTGTCCTCAGTCACTCACCTATCCCGCTCTGGCTCAGGGTCCCTCCTCACTCACTCATTGCCCCAGCTCCCTCCTGAGCAGGGAGCTCTCCATGATGTCACAGGCTTTCCTCCACGTCAGGCCAACCTCACTCAGATTCCCAGAGTGGACAGTCATTCCCCCTGGGCCTCCCCTTCCTTCCCAGCTCACTTCTCCCGACTTGTGCTCCTGTCCCCTGACTGTCCTTGCCTTTGATTCATGGTCTTATGAGCTGAAGTCACATCAGGCCTGGCTGTGGTGGCTCCTTCCTTCTGTAACCACAGATCCCAGGGCTCCGGGAGCCAGTGGAAGCCTGAATCCTACTGCCCTGGAAAATCAGAGGGGTGTTGTGGGAGACAGACTCCTCCTCAGAACAGCAGCTCCAGCTTGGTCTTGAAGGTGTACCCTACAGCCCAAGGCTGGGATGCCCAAAAGTTCAGTCCAGGCACTGGGTGGAAAGATTGAGCTGGCACTGAGAGATGAAAACAAGTGGCAGATGGTGCCGAGGAACATCCCAGGATGGAAGAGATGTGGTTCCCAGAAGGGGGGAAGGAAGGAGACACTGGCAAAGTCTTACTCAGCCACTGTGACAACCTGGCCCGAGAAAGCTTCGGGATGGGGCTGAGAACACATGTATGGTAGCAGGGATACTGGGGAGCTCAGACTCTCACCCTGCTGGCCCCTCTTCTCGTGCTCTTTTGCCACATCCCGAGTAAACAGCCTGGAAAAAGGTGCGGCACATGAAGATGTGACTGTATCCTCTGAGGGCATCCCAAGAGCCTTGGGCCGCAGGCCAGGCTGTGTGATCACCTGGGCTTTCTCAACCAGGCCAGGCTGAGCTGGGCTGGGCAGGGCAGGGCAGGCAAGGACTGGGAATCAGGTGCTGCTCCCCGCAGCCAGGCTTCTTTTTGGGGGATAAGCGTGAGCAAGGTTTCTGGGGAGCAACCCCAACATGAGCCCAACCCTGCAGGGCCTGCGACCTGCGTGGCCTAAGCCCTGCCTGGCCCTTGATGCCCCCAGGTGCTGGAGGTGGTGCGAGCCAACTATGACACGCTTACGCTGAAGCTGCAGGATGGCCTGGACCAGTATGAGCGCTACTCGGAGCAGCACAAGGAAGCTGCCTTCTTCAAGGAGCTGGTGAGTGCCTCGCCCCCCTGCCTGTGTCTCTTAGGGCCTATCCCCAGTCATCGGGTTCTGCTGTGCAGATGGGCATCTGGGGACAACTGCAGCTTGCCAGAGGCCAGTGAAGAGCCTTGAGGGTCTGCTGGGATCAGGTGTGCAGCTTCTTTCCCAGAGCAGTCTCGACCAGGCAGCGGGAGAAGGCCACCCCCTGTAGCCACGGAAAAGGCCCTGCACAGCCCCACTGGACCTGGGGAGAACTGTGTTTCCAGCGGCAACTCTGGCTCGTTCCTTGTCCTGTCCCCAGAGCCATTCATGAGAGGAATTGAGTGTTCACTCCTATGGACTCATTTCCTCCTGAGTTCCTAACTGGCCGCTGATCTGAGTCCCTCCAGCCCGACTCTCCAGTCTTCACTCCCACGCCCATTCTGCAGCCACCCAGCATCCCACAGCCCTACCCGTGGCCTCTTGGAGCCAGTCAGCATTTGCTCTGCCTCCTACTTCATTCCTATCAGCGTCTCTACAGGTCCAGCCTTTCCTGTTGACTAGCCCTCTCTTGCTCTGTGCTCAGAGTTGCTCTCAAGAAGAGCTCGCTTTCCCTGAAGTCTCACCACTCTACCTGCTTGGTTGACACAGCCTGGCTGGGCTGAGACCAGAACAAACAGCCCTCAGCACCCACTTTCCATGTGGTCAGATGCCCCTTTGCCAGGGCAGAACCTGCATCCACCCTCTTCTTACCTCCCACCCCCAGTCCGTGGTGAAGGCACCAGAGGTCAGATTGTTTTGTGCTAAACACAACCTGCTCTGACCCTGCCACGACATTCCTTGGGACCATAGACTTCCTCCGGGTGAGGAAGATGTGTGCTGGGCTAAGTTGTTGGTAACAGGGAAGCTGATAGTGCAAAGGAAGAGTATGTTTATGGAGTGGCTGGTGAGTCTTTAAGTGGATGTGGGAGAATTTCTGGGAGCCAACAGTTCACAAAGAGAGCAAGTTACAGGGAAGCCATGGAGGTCCTCGGCGTTAGAGGAGCTTGTATCTCAAGGTCTGGGCACTGGCTTCTGCCTTACTCAGTTGACTCACATCTGTTCCCCAGCACAGGAGAGCAAGAAGAGTCTGATGGCGTTTGGAGCTCTGGGCTTGAGGTGTCTGTAGTGTGCCAGGCCACCCCTCCTCTTCTTCCTGCCTGTTGACTTCACTAGGCTTCCTGTGAAGCCTAGGTAAAGCAGAGGCCGAAGGAAGCTCCCTGGACCTCGGGGCCTGGGACAGACACAAGTTCTCTTCTCTTTCTGCGCCTCCCCGCTTTGTCTCTCACGCAGCCCACCCTCCTACTTCCCATGGAGGCGTCTCTCGATGAGTCTGCTAGATTTCTGTTGGAGCCTCTGACCCCTCTCCCGGCTGTTCCCCTGCTGACACTGATAGCACTTGGGCAGGGTCTGGGTCCACGGGTGGAGAGTGCGTGAGTGAGAGTGGGCACACAGCAAGGAAGTGCCTGACCTTTCTCACGTGGGCAGCAGGCTTTGATGTGGAAGGAGTGCTGGGCTAGGAATTCAGAAGCCTGGGTCCTGCTCCCAAGCTGGGACTCATGAGCTGTATCATCTGATCCCGGTCATTGGCCTCCTTGGGTCAGACCCCTGCATCTCTAGATACTCCTTCCATCCCGAAAAAGTAGATAAATTCGGGGAGAGTGAGAAGACTAGAGACACACCCAAAAAGAGGTAGCCCAAAGAGTGAGTCCTCTGACCTCCATTTCTCCTCCGCCAGACCGTTCCCTTCTCTGCAAGGCTGAAGCAAGGAGAGGCTGACTTCAGCCTCCTTTCTTGTCTCTGCCTGCTTCTACCTCCCGGGCGCCCAGATGCTCCTCTCACCTCCATTGGAATTTCTGCCTCTCAGCCCCTCTTCTTTTCTTCCCTGCTGTCAATGAACTTTGCTCATTTGCCTGCAAGGGTAATAGTTGTGAAGCGTTCAGTTCCTAAGAGAGAAACTTCCAGTGCTCCTTCTTGGCTTGTGCCTCAGGCCCTGCCCTCACTGTGTGTGACGCGTCTCTCTGTGTTCTTTCTGCCTGTGCCTCCCACACCCGCCCTTTCCCAGGTCCGATCCATTAGCACTAACGTCCGGAGAAACCTGGCCTTCCACACGCTCAGCCAGGAAGTCCTGCTCAAGGAGTTCTCCACCATTTCCTGAGGCCACGCCTGCCGAGTTACCACTGCCTGCCCTCACCCATGGGCTCCTGGCTGGAGGGGGAGCCGGGGAGAGGGGCTGCCCCAAGGTTGGAGAGAAACGCAGACACCAAGTTCCCTTGGTGAAGGCCACACTCCAGCAGAGCTTGGACGGTGAGGCAGGAAGGGCAGGCCAGGACGAGCTTACTTGGGAGGAGGGGTGGGCACAGTGGGGAGAGGCCTCCAGGGGTGTTTGGCTTCCAGGTGGGCTCCTGAAACAGCCCTCACATTTCCAGTCGGGATTACGAGTGGTGGCTGCTGACTGATTTCCAGGAGTTGGCAGGCAAGCCTCTGGGTGCTGGGCTGAGAACAGATCAACTCTCAGAGGCAGCTGGAGCCATGTTCTTCTGCCTCTGGGCCTGTGGCTGTGCCCTACTGGCACTCTGTCCTATCATTATGGCCCTTGACTCAGGCTTCAGGAAGGGCAGGAATGGGGGCCCTGTCTTCTGTTTTCTAAATTCAGAGCTGACACCTCTGGGAAATGGGATGAGAATCCGCCCAGTGCCCTGCCACGGCCACCACTCTCTGAAGTTTCGCTTTGGCACCAGGAGGGCCTGTTAGCGCTCTCTCCTCCAGCACAGTAGAGTCACAGCCTTAGCTTTCATTTTTAATCTGGTTTAAGCTGTCTTTAGGGTGTGTGTGAAATAAACATGGCCGGCTTTCTGGAGCCCTGGAGGTGCCTACTTTGTCGGTCCCCTCGCCAGCAGCTCCCCGCCTCCCCAGCCCCTCCTCCAGGAGCCTTCCTTGAGCTCCCTCCATGGTCCGCCCCCTCGCCCTGCTGTTGTTTACATCCAACCTGCCTGAGAATTTCCTCTAGGGAGGAGTCTGTTCCTGCTGTGGTCTGGTGCCTGGGAGAGAGAGAACCTGCTGGGCAGGGTGCCCGCCATCAGAAGGGCCAGGCGAATGCCATGTGGGGGCCTCCACTGTCTCCACCGTGTTCGGGGTGGGCCACAGACCTCCTGTCCTTGGGAAGGTGGCTTGAGGTTCCTCCTCTGAAAAGCAGCTGCCTGGAGACCCTCTTGGCCTGGCGTGGGGGGGAAGCAGCTCCAGAAGAACCCAGGAGTAAATGAGGGACCAGCCTGGAGCACAGGTCTGGGACCCCACCCCCCACCCCAGCTGCTGTCCATGGACCCTCGGATCTCTTTGGGACATTTGCCCTCCCTGAAACCAGAGTTCTGGCTCCAACGCTGTGCAGATCTGCACTCATTCCCAGGACCACTAACAGGCTGCCATGTGTCGATGTAGGTTCCTAAGGGGTCCAGGCTGGATCATCTCTGATCACTCCAGGATTGCTCAGCCTGGTGCATCTAGGGTTTTCCACGGTGGTCAACCCCAGAGCAGCTGGATCTGGAGCTGGTGACAAGGTGAAGTTATTAAAAACTGATTGGCGTGGGACTGTTGTTAGTGTCTTTCTTCCTTCTTAATCTAATCTCTGTTGCCCAGGCTTGGTTCTCAAAGACAGAGTTTAGTAAACTCCCAGGTGTTGGCCCCCTCTGGTCAGGACCCTTGCTTGTCCTTACAGACCCTCCTCTGAGCCTCCTGACCCTAGTAGAAGCCAGTTGGGCTCAGAGAGTCGCAGCCTCCCTTGCGCTCTGGGTGGGAGGGAGAAGGGAGTTCCCTTATCTTCAGACTTCCTTGGGTGGAGGAGGCCCGCCAGCCACGTGGCTGCTTCTGGGCTCCTGTCACCCTTTCCTGCAGGGGACAGGGCAGGCCTGCCGCAGGGGCCCTGAGCAGGACGCCGCCCTCCCCTGTACAGCCCGTCTCTCAGCTCATTTCTTCACACACACCTGTTCCAGGAACTCCAAACAGGAGTCCCGTTCTCTCCTGGAAACCGCCCTCTAAAGCAGCTGCCCCTACTCTGTCTGTGCCCAGCCTTGGTGCCAGGTCTGCAGCGGTTCCTTGAGAGCCGGGAGAGCCGGAGCCCGGTGGGTCGTGGCTCCTGCTGGCAGCCCTGCCTTCCTCAGCTGTGCCCCCCTGCTGGAACTCCCACCACAATTCCTGCTGGGCTGATTGAATCAAGTGGTTGGAAATTAAATCCGACCAAAGAGGTTAAATGTGCTCGAGTCACTTTAGCTGAAGCTTTTGGTCTCAACAGGTCACTCCTCCAGACCCACCCGGCAGGATCCCCCATCCTCATGGGGGGTCTTGGGCAAGGAGCCCAGGAAGCGTCCTAAGGAAGGTGGCTCAGCCTCAGCGGCCCTTGGGTGGGAGCTGGCCCCGCCAGCGCCGCCTTCCGGGAGCGCGCCCTAGGGACACAAAGGCGTTTCCGTGGCCTCACCCGGGTCCCTAGACCCAGGCACCCCTCACGTCTGCCGGCAAACAAGCGATCTAGGCCAGGACCGGCGGCGAAGCAGAAGGGCCGAGAAGCTGGGAAGGGGAACCCACGAGGCAGCCTCGAGGGCGGACCTGGCTCCGACTGTTGCGCTCCCGCCGGGGGGTCGGCGGAGACCGCCAGTCAGGGGAGGGGCACCGGAAGGCCCCTGGGCCGGGGCAAGCTCCTCGCGTGGGCGGGCGCCGCGCAGGGCCTTGGGGGATGCGCGCGGGGGCAGGGGCCTGGGGGAAGGTGCGCGGGGGCACGGCCCCTCCGGAACTTGCGG